GAAGAGAAAATACAAATGATTCTTAAACATACGAAATGCTTCTAACCTCTCTCATAAGAAAAATGCAGATAAAAATTACTCTTTGATATCTCTGGCAAAGATCTAAAAGACTGATGACACAGTAAGTTGACAGGTGCGTGAGGAAACAGGCTTCCTCATACATTGCTTGCGGAACATACACTAGTGCAACTTCTATGATCAATCTGGCACATCTATCAAAATTATAGCTGCACATAGCCTTCAACACAGAAACTCTACTTCTAGCACATATGCAAAATGAAATATTGATGTTTACTGATATTGACTGAAGCATTATTTGTACTGGCAAAAACTGGATACAACTGAAATTCCATTAATTGGAATCTTGTTAAATAAACTGTGGTCCATCTATACAATGGATACTGTAATGGACAGACTCTGAAATGGCTTCCAATTAAGTCTGCCTTCTGGTACTCATGCCCACTGTAATCCCCTACCCTTCAGTGTGGGTGGGATGTGTGACTTCCTTCTAACACACAGAATATGGCAAAGGTGATAGGTTGTCACTCCCATGATTACATCACATAAGTTCATAACATCTATCTTATTAGCAGATTTTCTCCCTTGCTGACTTTGATGAAGCTAGCTGCTATGCTGTGCAGAGGCCCACATGGCAAGGAACTGAGGGTAGCCTCCACCCAACAGCCAACAAGAAATTGACACCCTGTATTACACCCATAAAGAACTGAATTCTGCCAACAACCATGTGGGGGTGGAAGCAGATCCTTCCACAGTCAAATCTTCAGATGAGACCACAGCTCTAGGCAGCACCTTGATTGCAGCCTTGTGAGAGATCCTGAAGCAGAGGACCCAGATAAGCTGTGCCTGGACTCTTGACCTAAAGAAATTGTGATAATAAATGTGTTGTTTTCAGCCAATAAGTATGTTATGCAGCAATATATAACTAACACAGATACTATGCAACTGTTAAAAGAATGATGCAATTTTATATGTACTGATAATAGAATGAAATCTAAAATATATTAAGCACAAAAAGAAAGGTTAAGTCAAAACAGTGTGCCTAACTATCATTCATGTATATATAAATACTTGTCTATGCATAGAACATCTCTGGTTATCTCTGAAATGATTCACAAGAAATTGGTAACAGTGGTTATCTCTTGGTAGGGGAACTAGGTGACTGGGGACCTGCTGAATTTTGCTCCATGCACATGAAACTGTAGCTCAAAACATCTTAAACCTGTTTTGCTCCCATTTGACTTAGAATAAAATCTAATTCCTTACAAATGGCCTAAAAGATCCTGCATGATTTGGATCCTGCCTATTTCTCCAACTTCAACTTGTATCACTCTCTGGCTCTTATGATCCTGTTGCCACTAGAATATAAGTTCCTTGTGGGAAGGAATGTCTTTCTTGTTCACCTTTTGTTATTAGTCTGTTTCTGTTGCTTATAACAAAATGTTTGGAACTGGGTGATTTATAAAGAAAGTGAAAGCTGGTAAGTCCAAAGTCCAGGGAACATATCTGGTGAGGGTCTTGGTGGTGGCAACAGTGACTCAGGGGTTTCACACAGCAGAAAATGGTGGAGCAGAGAGGGATAGTTCCTCATGCACCCTTCTTTTTAAAGCTCTCAGGACCACACCCAAGACTGCCATTATTAATCCATTCACTATGGCATGGTCCTACAATCTAATCACCTCTTCCAGGCCCCACCTTTCAATGACCATAACAGGATTTCCCACTCTGAACAGTTACAGTAGGGTTTAAGCCTCAATGAGGCTGGAGGTGGGAGGGGGGCAGGGATCCAATCTACAGCACCTTTTGATCTCCAGCAACATAGCACAGTGCATGACACTCAATAGGGATTTAGTAAATATATACATTTTTAAAGTAATAATGAAAGAATTTGATTTGCAAAGTTTTAGTAAAGACTAAAAATGTTAATGCCTAGCACAGTACTTGGCACTCAACAGAAAGGGACACAATATGGGATTTCCAGTATCACTCAAAGGGCTTCAAATAAATAGGAGTAGAACCTCATTATATATTGCTCCTGAAACTAGTAGGTGAAGGAAGAAATATTAAGAGGATAAAAGATATTAATTCAGCATTAAGAATGCCATAACAAACAGCTGCACAGATGAGAGGGACTGCTTTAAGAGATGGTGAATACTCCCACACTGCTTAATCAGCTATCTATTCTTTACCAGGAAAACTGCAAAAAATAAATGAGTGCTCTTCTGAGAGCCTTTCTAGGATTCAGTGATTCTTATAAACAGTCTCTTTTTTCAGCGTATTGTGCAGAGGCATATTATGGGTCCTATCCTTTTCATAGTCGTTTTATATGTACAAGTATATTGTTTTTACTCTGACTCCTGAGTTAAAAAAAAAAAAAAATAGTACCTTTACTGACCTTCCTGTAAAGTGGGGATGCTGATTATGGTATCTCATTGTGAAAAACTAATGGCTATATTGATTCAAGTTTTTGAGGTTTATATTTATTATAATGTCAGCTGCCATTAGCACAGTAGACTGTTTTGGGGTTTTTTTGGAGCACAAAGGGATAGATGGGTCAAAAGTTTTTTTTCTTCCCACCATCATGCTGGAAAAGTAATTTCATTAAACTATTGAACAGTAAAACGTCTTTTTCAAAGGTCATATTTTATTGGTGTCTTTGGCCCATTAACAGCAAACAGAAGCTGCATGGACTATACATAGGGGGCAATTCTCTCTGTTACTGAAGTGCTTCCTTCACAAAGTGTGCAGGCTGAAGTCATTAACAAGAAAAACTATATCAGTGTTAAGCACGAGGGGCACATCTTCCTGGTAGCTCTGGCTCTCTCTCTCCACCTGGGGAAAGACACTGTGACCAAGAACATCAAGTCGCACTCACCTTTATCTTAAATTTTGGTACACTGAATATACATTAGATAGTAGGTGAGAAAGGAGGTATGTATCTTTTTGTTTAAATTTTGATAGTAATCTTATCTTGTTCCTGATTTGCTTAATTCTAGATTCCAAAACATTTTGAAACAGCACTTAATTTATTTAGTAGCTGCAAAAACCTAGGTATTTGTTGTTGTTGAAAACCACCCACATCTCTGCAAACTTTAAAAACATGAATACAAGGTACAGTGCTCTTATCTTGTTCCTGATTTGCTTAATTCTAGATTCCAAAACATTTTGAAACAGCACTTAATTTATTTAGTAGCTGCAAAAACCTAGGTATTTGCTGTTGTTGAAAACCACCCACATCTCTGCAAACTTTAAAAACATGAATACAAGGTACAGTGCTTAGATAAGAATCCTGGGCTCTAGGCAGGAAGCCTGGGTTCTAGTCTGTGTTGGTATCAACAAGGTATCCCTCAGTCTCTGGAGACATTTCCCTCCTGGTAATACAAGAGGCTGAACAGTTTTAAGACAATATTTGGACTTTGAACCCTGAAGTCACATGAAAATGTACACGAAGCTTAATATGTAAAATAGTTCAAAGCATATTTGCTTTGGTGGAAAATGGGACAAGAGCCCAGAGCTTCTGAGGCAACTCTAAAGAGCCTCCAATGCTCTGCAGAACATTCTGGAAATCCCTGAGCTAGATGAGCTCTTCCAGTTCTGACATCACATCACTTTCACAGTAACAACCTACAAAGCATAATTAAATTTGGCTTTAATGAGATGTATCCAAATTCATCTTCTTCCTTTTTTTTTGGCTTGTGCAATAATTGGCAAAGATGTGAGGAACCACACTGGGTCCTTTGTGTTAATGCTTGTATTAGTAAACATATGGGTTTTAATCATGGCCTGTGTGGTGTGCTTCACTCATTCAACTGGGGCTATGAAGACAAATGCAGTCTCTATTCTCAAATTGTTAAAATTTCCCAGAGAAAACAGGTAAACAAGCACAATCAAGTGCTACAGTTGTTAATGGTAGAAGCAGACCCCTGGCATAGTGGGAGCACGCTGGAGAAGGGGAAAGAAGGGAGAGTAAAGGATTTATATAAATAGCAACTGCATTTATTGAACACTTAAAATGTGTCAGGCAGTGTTCTAAATTTTTTATGTAATCATTTGAGAGATGCAGACATTGAAGATGGTTAGATTATTTGCCTACAGATAAAAAAAAATAATGGAGGCAGGATTTACAACCAGGCTGTATGACTCCAGGGACCCTACTCTTCATCACTACCCTGTGCTACCTTTATATTCATAGATAGGATAGCAAGGTGACAGGGTAGAAACGTCAGCAGAGAGAGAGAGGAGAGGAAGAAGCATGAATGAAAGCAAGCAGGGGCACAAAACAGTGCACGGGGAATTTTAAGTTGTTGGGATGGCTGTAACACAAGGTGCAGGGGAGACTGTGGTGAGGAAAATAGATTAGAGGGGCTATGCTTCCCTCCCCCTTTGGCAAAATCCCCATCTTTATCTCTGCAATAACAGACTAAAAAGAAGTCTGGGAAAATAGAATGGATTTAAGAGATAGCATAGCTGGATTAGCATCCCAGCATGTCACTGACGTTGGACTCTCAGATCTTCTTAGGGGATAATGGGTAAATAAAATGTGTGAAAGTTCATAGTGTTGGCCAGATAAGTGTTGGCTAAATTTGAATGTGCAGCAGATATTAGGCAAACTGAGTTCCTGGATAAAAAGGGTGTATGGAGTACTCTAAAAGGAAAGAGGAGTACAAGGCAAAAACCACTTCAGTTCGTTCACATGAGGAAAAGTTTAAGTGACAGCCTTATCAAAACTGTACTGCTTGCTGTTAGAATAAATGAGCTGTACAAGATGTCCTTAACTCAATATGAGAGTAGCTGTGTAGTCTCTGCTACATGGCCAAACCAGTACATTAAAACTCCCCCTGTCTTTGTGAGTATTGTCCTTGTATAATTTCAATGGGGGAAAAAAAACCCTCCTGGAACAAGGTGTACAGAATGGGGACAATACACCATCTGCCTGTCTGCTTGCCAATAGGAAAATGTAGGAGCTGGTAATGATCCAAACATTTTTTGTGCAGAAATAAAAAATGGCATTTTATTTATATTTCCCTTAGCAAAGTATTCTAATTATGCCTTATATTCTGACTGTGGTTAGCATAGGCTCACGTAATTATGCTGTTAATCAGACTCCATGTTTGCCCTGAGTGAGTACAGCAGTCTGAATGATCTCAGACAATTTTAAGAGGGGAAGGCGAGATCTTTCTCAGATGTTTCACTGCTTATGGAGGGCAAGTGGCTTCTCACCATGGTGACAATCATGTTGCTAGGCTGGGCAAGACCAACTTTAGAAGAATGGTTCTCCAAACAGATCTACTGAAATGAATGGCTCATGACACCAGCAACTTTCTTCAAGTTCTGATTAATTTTCCATGAAATAATTGCTTGGCATACATCCAAGCAGTTCCTTTATTCATTGCTTCTTTGTCTTGCCAACAGGAGGGTCAGTCAATACTGAAACATACAGTTTGAACCAAGCATATGTGATGCCCACTGCACAATACACTGAGGTCAGTAACAAAGGGATAAAGGGGTACTTCAGCTTCCATGAGGTGAAAGGAAATACAAATTCACAGCAGACCTCCAGAGGCCCCAGGCCAAAGAGGTAGAAAGTTTCCATCCAATTAAAAAGAGGTTTTTCTTTTCTGAAGAAAAAAGAAAAGTCTGATTTTAGATGAGTCATCCTGGTTTAGCAAACATTTCCCAGCTGATGCTTCCCCCACTGCACTGTCCTGATGTGAATTACAGCCAAGGCCACAGTCAAAAGAGTGCATTAAATTTCACATTCAGAAAAAATAATAATATACCATTACAATATCTAAACAATCCAAATTTACCCAATCATCTGGGTATATGTTCACTTAGCTCAAGCTGCTCAGAGAGAACTAGCTCTACATTTGGAAGAGAGAAAGAGGCTGGTGCTGTGACACTGGAATAAGAACATGATAAACAATATACAGTCATGCATCGCTTAATGACAGGGATGCGTTCAGAGAAATGTGTCATTAGGCAATTTCATCATTGTGTGAACATCACAGTGTACTTATACAAACCTAGGTGGTATAGCCTGCTACACACCTAGGCTATACAGTATAGCCTATTGCTCCCAGGCTATAAACCTGTACAGCGTGTTACTGTACTGAAAAAATGTAGGCAACTGTAACACAATGGTATCTGAACATATCTAAACATAGAAAAGGTACCGTAAAAATGTGGTATTATAATCTTATGGGACCACCATCATATACGTAGTCCATCGTTGACCTAAATGTCATTATGTGGCACACAACTGTATAATCAAGGATTTTAAAAATGTTTTTTATTTTGGTAAAATATATATAACATAAAATTTGCTATTTTAACCATTTTTAAGTATGTAATTCACTGACATTAAGTATATTGATAATGTGTACCCATCACCACTATCTACTTCTAAACATTTTCATCATCCCAAACAGAAACTCCAGAACCATTAACATTAATTCCCCATTCTCTTACTCCTCCCCCACCAACCTCTAATCTACTTTCTGTCTCTATGAATTTGCCTTTTCTAGATTTTATTCTAGATTTCACATAAGTGGAATCATACAATATTTGTCCTTCTACATTTGGCTTCTTTCACTTAGCATAATATTTTCAAGGTTCCTCCATGTTGTAGCATGTATCAGAACTTCATTCCTAATTCTGACTGAATAATATTTCGTTGTATGTATATGCCACATTTTATTTATCTGCTCATCTGTTGCTGGGCATTTGGGCTTTTTTTGTCTTTTGGCTATTGTGAGTAATACTGCAATGAATGCTGGTGTATAAGTATCTGTTTGAGTCCTTGTTTTCAATTCTTTTGGGTATATACACAGGAGTGGAATTGTTGGGTAATGTGGTTATGATTGAGTTTTAATATAATTAATTATGTCTGTTTTTATGGACACAATCAGCTATGAACCATAAGCAAGCTTCTTAAAAATTATAGAGATAACATTATACAAAGTTTAGAAGAGAGCTGGCTGGTTAGCTCAGTTGGTTAGAGATGGTGCTGATAACACCAAGGTTCAGGGTTTGATCCCTATATCAGCCAGCCACCAAAAAAAACAAAATAAATTTTTAAAATAAAATTAAGTTTGGGAGAGAAAAAAATTCCACCCATAATTCTATAGCACTAATTTTTACCTGATATCTTTTAGTTTCTTCCATATGCATCTGTATTTATGCGGTTTCATTCATAATACATATTTTACATTCTGTTCTTTAGTTTTCACATAAGGTTTTAATTTAAACTAGGTAGTCCTTCTCAAACATACTCCCAAACTAAAGATACAACCTATGTTGTCATGCCAGAGTGATGGGATTAGGGGTAATTTTTCTCTCTATTTACCAATTTTTTTGTAATGTTGTTATATTACCATTATAACTTAAAAGTACATTTTCAAAGGCTTATCTACCATTTAGGAGTAAACATTTCGGGGGGGAGTATGGGATTAGGGGTAATTTTTCTCTCTATTTACCAATTTTTTTGTAATGTTGTTATATTACCATTACAACTTAAAAGTACATTTTCAAAGGCTTATCTACCATTTAGGAGTAAACATTTCGGGGGGGAGGGAGTGATGGGTTGGGCAAAGGGCATAAAGAACTATCACGATTTGTAAAAATGAATATGCTAAGAATAAATAAAAATTTTTAAAAAATTCAAAAAAAGGAGTAAACAATTCACAATAGTAAATATAATTTTACATGTAATTTTTTGTATTACCTGAATAGAGTCTTCAGTGAGGATATACTATAGATGGTGAATAGTAACATAAAAATTCAAAAAAAGGAGTAAACAATTCACAATAGTAAATATAATTTTACATGTAATTTTTTTGTATTACCTGAATAGAGTCTTCAGTGAGGATATACTATAGATGGTGAATAGTAACATGAGTAAGACTTTAATGGGAAGCTCTGTTAAAAGAACAACAAAAAAATAGATGATAATTTAGCTGATAAAAGTTTATGATGCTTCACGCACTTCACGCAATATAAGCACACCGACACAACTATATAGTGCCAGTAATGCTTTTTCAGTTTAACTATGCATTTTTGTGACAGCTAAAGAAGCTTAGAATCAGGGGCAAATTTTAAGTTTTATTTAAGACAATGGATGAATTCTCTCCTTCCAAGAGATTTTAAATTGTGTAAATCAGGTTATACTGATCTCTAAGCCTCAATGAAGAGGGCATGGTAGTTAAATATATCTTTCTAAAAAGAAGCTGTTTACCTGGTGTAGTGAAGAGCAGAGGGAAGAGGGAATAATGTCCTGTTGTCGTCAGAATCAGAAAAATTGAAGCATCTCCTGCTTTTCCCACAGACAAAAGGCTAAAAATACAAATTCTTATAATAATTCCTTAAAACAACAACATAAATTACACTTGCAAATAGCTTGAATAAACTTTTATTATTACTTCTAGAACTAGCATAAACATAAAATAATGTACTGATTTTGCTACAAGTCCAATTTAGTTGAGAATATTAATTTTTTAAGTAGGAAACTTTAAGCGATTGATAGAATGTACACAACTGAATCAGGGAACATACAAAAAAAGAATCTTGCTTCTCTAAGAAACTGTCTTCTCCAAAGAAAAATGTGGGATTGGGAGCTGCCTAGTGGTGGCACTCAGAGAAATAGAACTCAGAGCTTCATTTTCAACTCTATAGCTCATCTCTTGGATAACACCCCGCACCTGCTGGTGTTCAGTATGATTTCAAACTAAAGATATTAAATGTTTCACTCTACTTTTTTTTTTTTT